CTTTTCCTTATATAAAAATGTATGATTTTTTTTTCCAGGAGGGATAGAAATGAAGGGAATGTAAGCAGGGAGATAACAAAAGAAAGAAAAAAAATGGTGCTTACAGAAGTCAAACAAACACATAAAGGGAAGGAAATGAACAGGAAGATAAGGAAGAAGAATTCAAAGGGAAACTGGGGTTGGAGTAAAGAGATAGCAAAAGGAACAGAGAAGCCCAACTGCCCAACAATAGAACATGTGCACAAAGCCGGGCAGTGAATGACATAGGGAAGAGGGGGAAAAGGTTAGAGATAAACATGAAACTAGCCAAAATGAAAAGTTAAAGAATGCCTAGATAACGTTATAATGCTATTAGGTCTTGTCTATTTCTAATAATTAACTAGACTTTGCTGACACATATGCTGAGATGAATTGGTATCACACAAGCCAACCAGGTGATCTTCTGTTCCCAAAAGTATGCAAGGTTCACAGGGACTGAAAGGAACAAGCCATTCATCCAACTTGTGCCTGCACCTGCTTACTATCATGTCAATATTAGGAGCAATGAAGTGCCTTACCGCCTACTACACAGCTCATAAATATCAGCAGCACAAGGAATGGCTGGTTCTTCGTTAGGATATGGTATTTTCCATAGAAATTCTCATCCTCTGAATTCCTCATGCTTAAGGACCCTTCTCTGGAAGATGTGACCCAGTCAAAGCTGCTGTTTATGGAAGTCATCCTGCTTGAGCACTGTGATACTCAATCCACTGGGCTCACAGACAAGCGTCCCAACCAACAGCCATGTCCCAACCACTCCCCAACTAGGCCTTCGCCTCACTGCAAGAATGGATTCCCCTTGCCCCCTGCTCACAGAAGTTCCCAGGAGTCCTTCTCCCACCAACTCCTCAGAGGGAGATGATGGGGGACTGGCTCACAGCTGGCAGCGCGATTCCTACTGGGCAGCCCCAAGCTCAACTTTTCCTGCTCCTACAAGGTCCGGAAAGCCTTCCCCAAGGTGGCTTCAGACTCAAGCCTAGCCCCGCCCGCCCTTTCAAATGATCAGCAAGGCCGGGTTCGCAATAGGAAGCCCCTTCACACACACTGTCCCTCACGAGGTGCCGCTGCGGTCGGGACCCAACGCAAAGCCCTTCCCGCCGCGGCCGTTAGATTTGAAGATAGTCCGGCGCGCGCGCCCCGCCCTCCGTCTCTTTCGCGCGCCAAAGCTTGGAACGGGAACTAGGCAGTCGAAGCCGCGCCGTCGGCTACGCCTCTATCCTCACAGCAGTTGGGGGTTGAAAACTCCCGCAGCACGCGCGGCCCGTTGCCACTCCCCAACCAGAGCTCGCGAGAGTAGCGCCGCGCGAGGCAGCAAGCGGTTCGATGTACCGGACGCAAGCAGCGCGTGTCAAAAGGGATCACATGTTGGGCCGGGCCGTGGCGGGGGGGCGGCGCGG